GGAGGACCTGACGCGCAGCGGCCCGGCCGCCTCGTTCCGGCGGCGTGCGGACGCAGCCTCCCAGCAGCCGCTGGATCCTCCAGCGCTGGCGATCCCGGCGCCTCTCGCGGTCGGAGGGGCGGGCAGGCCGGGCCGGCCGCCCCTGCCGCCCAGCCAATGGCCGTGAGGATGCCCGGCAGACGCAGCCAATGGGGAAGAGGAGGCCCTGCGCCCCGCCTCCTGGCTCTGCGGCTTGCTTCAATCAGGCTCGTCTTCTTCCTTGAAGCTCCCTTGTGATCGGGGCCAACCGCAGGAGCTGAAGGCGGGATTTCCGCCGCACGCACGCACACACGCACGCAGCCCAAATCTGGATTGGCTTCTGTCTCAACTCCCGCGGAGCGCTGGCAGGGTTCTCCGACGCCCGAGGGCGCCAGGACTGCGCGCTTGGGGTTTAGGAGAGGCGCCCCTTGGAGGTAACACCTGCATGGAGCCGGCGCAGGTTTGCAAGAGCCTCCTCCTCTCTGCTCCGCTCACGGATCGAAAGTTCCAGGCAAAATAGATGGAACCGTTGGTAGCAGGAAAGTTGGTGAAGAAATCAGAACTTGAAGTACCACTAAACCAATGATCAGAACACAAATCTTACTAAATGTAAGCGGTTAAGGGTGTAAAAACTGTTCTCTGGTCATCGTGGAATTAATCTGCAAGTCAGGAAAAGATAAACGGACAGCTTCATCCACTTGGAAATCGATGGCACGCTTCTAAATTACCTATGGGTCAAAGTGAAATAATGGGACAGGAAGGAAAGTATTGCATAGGAACAAAATAAAAATGTACCATCAAAAGTTTATGGAGTATAACTAAAGCATTGACAAGCAGTAACTGCTTGACTTAGAAAAGGAGAAAGATCTAAAATCAATTACAAATTCAACCAAAAAGACCTTCCATTTTAAGAAACTAGAAGTACAAAATACACCCAGAACAAGCAGAGAGGAAATATAAGAGCCAAAGTAAATGAAATTGAAAACAGGAAAACAAATCAAAATTAATCACTGGCCCTTAGATGTATAAAAATGTGATAAGACTGATGAAAAAATTTAAAAAGAAAGAAATGGAGGGGAGGGAGAGAAGTGGAACAAATAAGTTGTCAATATCAGGAATGCAAGAAAAGGCCACTAACCACCACATAGACTTCAAATGCACTGTAAGGAAATCCTAGTTACAATTCAATACATACACAGTTCACAATTTATGTGAAGAGTTCTAATTCTATGCATATACTGTTGGGAGTGACCAAAGATTAACTGACAAGGCCTGAATTAGGGCGGTAAAGAATTGAGCCTTGCATCCAAGATTGATAAAGTGATAGTAAACTGACCTTGAGATCCTGGATGGGACTAACTGAAGGTGACAGCGAACTGGACCTCACATCAGGGACACAGCGATGAGTCACCCCTTTGGAATCTGAGTTTAGAATCTATATAAGAGACCCTTCCCCCTTATTGGGATGGCAGTAGCTGTGGACCCCACCCTAGGGGCTCCGTCACAGCTGCTGTCCAGAGCAATAAACTCTGCATGTTCAGCCTTTCTGTCTCCAGCCTTCCTTTCTTGCGGCCGGTCACAGAAGTTGGGACAAAACATATACTACCAAAACTCACTTAAGAGAAATAGATAACTTGAACAGGACCATATTGAATTAAATTCATACTTTAAAACCTCCCCCCCAAAAAAAAAATTCCCAGGCCCAGACTGATTGATGGATTCTGACTCCAGCAAATAAGGAGTAAATATTTTCATTTTATAAACCTTAATTCCGTGTTCCAATGTAAGATGTATTGGAAAAGGCCTGGAGATATTAGAAAAAGTCTATCTGATCCTATTTGGGAAGACAATTCCTACATTACCAAAGAAGAAATCAGAAGGGAAACTAAAAACACTTTTGAAGAGAATGAAATGAGCACAAAAGGTCCCCAAACTTAGGATCTCCAGAAAAACCAAAGCATAGGGGGAACTTTATAACTTCTTTTAGTAAGGAAAAAAAAAAGATCTCAAATAGTTATCTAAGTTAACGGCTTAGAAACTAAAGAAAAATGACAAACTAAAGAAACCAAACTAAATATAAAGCAAACGTGGAGACCAAAGTAAACCAAGCACAAGGAGTAAATAATAATAAAGACTTGAGTGGAAATAAATGAAATAGTAGAAAAAGTCATGAAATCAAAAGTTTGATTTTTGAAAGGATACAGACAATTGGCAAACTGAACTGAACAACAGAAACAGACTCAACTTCTGATAATCGGGAGTGGAAGAGGGGACAAAACTACTAACCTTACAGAAATAAATGGGATTGTAGGGAAATCCCACTGTGAGTGCTCATATGTCAACAAATTAGTTAACTATGCTATGATTTACAATAAGTACATTTTATCTTTATATTTCCAGCACAGAGTTCCTAAAACGCTTAAAATTTCCCAAGAAGAGGCCACTCCCTAGGGACGTAACAGGTTAGGAAACAGCCCTGCTAGCTAGCGTCAGCCACTTCAGTCTGAGTTCCATCCCTGACCACAAAGGTGATACACATGGGGGAGCAGACCTCTCCTGTCTCACACCCTGCTCCCTCAGCAGTGTATATCGTAATTCTGCTCCTCACTCTGTCTCTGGTGAATCCTTCACAGCCCCTGCACCTGTGGTCTGTACCCCAGTTCTGTACACATAATAAATAAATCTTTAAAAATAAAAAGAAAACCATAAGTGAATATTCCTCAATAAAGATGCAAAATCTGTCAACAGAACACTAGCAAACTATATGTAGCTATATATTTTTTTAAAGATTTATTTATTCATACAGAACTGGGGTACAGGCCAGAGATGCGGAGGGTGAGAGGATTCACCAGGAACAGAGTGGGGAACAGAACAGGCAGATTGACGAAGTACACTGTTGAGGGGAGCAGCGGGCGGGTCAGGAGAGGTCTGCCTCGCCATGTGGATCTCCTCCGGGGCAGGCAGGCGGGGATCGAACTCGTGGGGAATTGGCTCAAGCCTCTTAGTGCAGTGCTTTAACCGCTGCGCCACCAGGGAGGGCCCTATGTAGCTATATTTTAAAATGAGTATACATCTGACCTGGCATTCCTGCTTTGAAGGGTTGTTTCAAGATATAAAAAACAATATAAAACACTTTATTCATGGGAGGGGGGCAAGAAAACATGTGATCATCTCAATAAGCATTTTACAATACCCAATACCCATAAATCATTAGACAACACAACCTCTTAGCATACCAGGTGTAAGAGGGAACTTCCTGAACCTGACAAAGGGCATCTACAAAAAAGTCTTAGTCAATATTATAGTTGCATTGAAAGACTACAAACTTTTCTCCTAAAGTCAAAAAATAAGAGAAGGATATTTGCTTTTGCTACTTCATATTCAAAAAAATCAATATGAGGTCTAGCTGCATTAAATAGGATTGAAAAAGGCAGGCAGACTGATGGAAAAAGAAGTAAACTATTTACAGATCACACAGAAAATTATGTAGAAACTTTTAAGAAATATAAAAATCATTAGAGGGTGGGAACTACATTGTTTAATAATTTTTTTTTAAAGATTTATTTATTTATTCATGCAGAACTGGGGTACAGGCCAGAGATGTGGAGGGTGAGAGGATTCACCAGAGACAGAGTGGGGAGCAGAACAGGCTGACTGACGAAGAACACTGCTGAGGGGAGCAGCGGGCAGGTCAGGAGAGGTCTGCCACGCCATGTGGTCACCTCCGGGGCAGGCGGGGATCGAACTCATGCGGAAGTGGCTTTAGCTTCTTAGTGTTGTGCTTTAACCCGCTGCACCACCAGGGAGGGCCATTGTTTAATAATTTTAAAAATGAAAAATTAGCCCTAATAGTTCTAAAATGTTGCAAGATTAATATTTTAAAACAATGTTATTTTTCCCTCCCTGGTGGTGCAGCGGGTTAAAGCACAGCACTAAGAAGCTAAAGCCACTTCAGCATGAGTTCGATCCCCGCCTGCCCCAGAGGTGACCCACATGGCGCAGCAGACCTCTCCTGACCCGCCCGCTGCTCCCCTCAGCAGTGTACTTCATTGATCTGCCCGTTCTGCTCCCCGCTCTGTCTCTGGTGAATCCTCTCACTGCCCCTGCACCTCTGGCCTGTACCCTAGTTCTATATGCATAAATAAATGAATTTTTTTTAAATCAATGTCATTTCTACTTCTCAGCAATTCAAAATGAAATTAAAAGACTACTCGATTTATGAAGACATCATTTGATTGAGGACTGCACAAAGGGTCTCTGGCTAGGTTCCTTCTACATCAGAGAAATTGCCTGAGAATTGGCAGTGATGAGCCCACAGCTCAGTCTTCTTAGCTGCTGGGAACTTGGCAGAGCATATACTACACCAGGGGGCAGCAAACTACCAGTCCGGTTAATCATACACTACACCAGGGGACAGCAATTTATTTTCCCAGAAGAACCAGATAGAAATTGGTATATTTCTTTTTTCTTTAATTGCTGTGTCTTTGGTTGATGATACTACTTAAGTTTCAGGAGTACATGCCCGTCCCATACCATGAAAGAAACTCTATAACCTTCAGCATTATCGAATCCACCCCCTTTACTCACTCCTACTTCCTTCCACCCTCTTCACATCCTGGTAACCACCATTTTGTCAAAATCTGGGAGCTCTTTTATTTTTTTTTAAGTTTTATTTATTTATGCATACAGAACTGGGATACACAGGCCAGAGGTGCAGAGGCAGTGAGAAGATTCATCAGAGACAGAGTGGGAGCAGACAGACTGACGAAGTACACTGCTGAGGGGAGCAGCAGGCAAGACAGGAGAGGTCTGCTGCACCATGTGGGTCAGCTCTCCCTGGCTGGGGATGGAACTTGTGCTGCAGTGGCTGCCAATAGCTTCAAAGTGCTGAGACTTAACCAGTTGTGCCACCAGGGAGGGCTTAGGAGCTGTTTTTGTTGTTTTGTTTCCTCACGAGCTTTGCATCTTTATATTCCACATAAGTGGAATTATATATTATTTTTCTTCTTCTTCTGACCTTTATTACTTAACATAATCACCTCAATTTCCACCATATTGTTGCAAGTGGCAAGATT